AAGCTCATATTGGGATTCGCAGAGACTCCTCTCAAACACCATCCTCTGCAGCCTGAGCAGATGTCTGAGCATTAGAAGTTTATTTTATTGGATTCAACACATTTAAGTTCTTAAAGCTGTCTTACAGGGGAAGAAAATAAATCCGGCCCACACAGAACGACGACAAGTGCTTCAGCCAAGTCTGTTCAGTGCCTTCGTATTTACAGCTTTGTTTCGAGGAAGAATTACACTCACTTGTGAAATGAAGAAATATGAGCCGTGGCTGTCAACTCTTTCTTTCAGGGATGCACTGTGCAGAGTGTTAAAATAAACAGTCATACAATTAAAGAAGTACTAGACTACTGAGTGTGGTTTTATATATAAAAAAAAAAATCACATGAAAAAACTGTGCTTTGAGAATCAGTAACATCATTAAATACTTTTAAGCCCCATTTTTAAGGCCTCTGCTCAAAAGCTGCACACAGGACATTAGTAAACGCTATTTTTTGTTTAATATCAATCAGAAAAGAGATCTTATGAATTGAAAGCAAATTAGAAATTAAACCACTAATTATCCGCTGTCTTACTGATACTTCCGACGCCTTGAAGGAAGTAAGACTAATAATCGTTTCCTCCTAGGATGAAGATGAATAATGAAATTAGTTTCTTTCTACATATCTGCTTGAATACTTTTGATATTATAGTCAAGAAAACCCCTGATGTGTTAGAATATGTGAATATCAGTAATTGTGAGTCAACAACAAAATCTGATTTTCCTAAAAGCATGTCCAGGATGATGAAGTGGAACTTTCAGAAATTTAGGTGAGGGTTCAGAAAAAGCTAGTTTGGTACAACCTGTGCCATTAAAACGTTCCCATGTAAAAAGCTCTGATTTTAATTCATAAATCACTGGTGTTCAAAATAGCAAGTAAAGGGTGGAGTTTGGTTAGCCAAAAACAAAAAACAAAACAAAACAAAAAAAAAAACAGAATCTTAGGTGTGAGGCACAAACACAGCTGGACTTCCTCATCTGGAAGAGAACTTGCTACTTTCACCATCAATGTAAGCGTTGCTTTGTCGAGAGCAGGCGTTGATTGGAAAGTTTACTGTTCACAACTTATGGCTTCGTGCGAGGCGTGCAGCTAACTGAGGTGATGAATTGAGGAAGTATCAAATGAAAGAGTTGGGCTGGCTGAGAAACAGATGACTTGAGAATAGATTTTGAAACGTGTTCCAGAATAAAAAAACGTTTCTCTTCAAAATGGAAAGGACTCCTTGAAAAATGACTGAGATACTGCAGCTGTCAAGCGTGTATTATAGCTGAAGTGAAAGTTTGTGCGGTGCAAAAAAAAAAAAAAAAAAAACTGACACTACATTGAATCATTTCAAAATTTCCCACCTCTGCAGTGTCTTATTGCAGGGAGGGAAACAGTGACCTTGATACATTAGTCTTGTTTGGTGAAAATTGCAGAGGGTTTCCAAATCAGTCAGATTGTGAAGACATGTCTCGTCCACATCCCTCCTCAGAAAACCCAACACCCTTTATGTAAGATAAATGAAATGACACAAAGTTCTGGACTCTGAGTTTTCAAAACTTCACTTCTCGTCTCATGACGCCAGTTTTTGTTGATGTATGACTGCTCTGACAGCAATGCTAAAAAAAAAATAAATAAAAAAAATCAAATCTTTCTTCATTCGCATCAAATGGAACTTAATTATTATTTAATTCCATTTAATTGCCACTTTTTATTCAATCGACTTTGCTGGGATGAGCTGTACCGACTGCGTGTCCTCCGCAGAGTCGGTAATGCGACATTAGAGACAGAAACTGCTCTGTTTTATGTGACCCACCATGTAATGCAACTGTAGGTAATGTGTGATTTCAGTCACAGCAGCACTGCAGAGAGAATAGGTTTGGCAGCACTTATCAGGATTTAGTCAGACACACAGATTTGGATGTAGCTCAGCCTCTTTTCCCAGGCCCACCTCAACCCGCCCTGGTCCGCAGAGCCAGCTCCATTATTGCCCCTTTAATGAGGTGATATCCAGACACATGGGAGCAGATGTTGCAAAGAAAATTCGCTGAGGCACGACCGTGATCGATGCACACCTCGCTCCGCATCCATGGCGTAATTTGGCGGATGGCATCAGGATAACAACCTGCATTATGGGGAGACAGCTGTCACCATGGCGCCCAGGCAGCCATAGCATTGGCTCCTGCTGTATTTCAGGCCGAGGCGGGGGGCGGGGGGTGCCAATTAGGCTGATTTACAGCTTTGCTCGTGTCGTCACCACCTCGAAATCTGCGCCTCAGTTCAGTTAAGTTTAAAATAAAAAAAGAAACCTTAGGTATAATGAGAAAAAGAAGCTTGAAAAAAAGCTCTGGGAGAAAGCTTAAATGAGGTGGCCCTTTAATAAATAATTTTAGGGTTAGGGTTAGGGTTTTAATAGTTTGTTACGCTAAAATCAAAAACATAAATTTGTTTTAATTGGATTTTATGTCATAGACCAACACATAATAGTGTTTAGTTGGGGAGTGGGAGGATAAGTATATTTAATTTGTATTCTATTAAGCCTGAAAAGCTGTGTGCATTTATATTCAGCACCTTTTGCACTCATACTTTGGTACAAAATGAACTATTAACTGTGCATTGCTTTATATATTTTGCAGGCACATTTTACGCCACAATCAAGTAACTATGTTACCTTCAATCCTTATAAAAAATTCTGTATGTACCAAACATAAGTTAAAAGAAATGCAATTTTGCAATTCGATGCCTTGAAATTGGGCCTCTGTCTCTTTAGGAAGATCCTACTCTTTCTGACACTCCATCTTCAGCACATCAGCACAACAATGTTCCTCCGTTATGCTGTTAACCAATGTTCTGAGGAGCATTGAACCGAGAAGCAGTTTGTATGATAAGCCCAGCAGATGCTCAGTTCAGTCTGGTGTTTGCTAATTGCTGCTGCCACTAGTCTGGAGGATCTGCGTGAGGAAGGCCAGGGAGAACGTTATTTAGTTTTAGTCACTCTTGAGGCATCTATGGTAAGTTTTAAAATTTTACAGTAAATTTATAACCGACTGAATTGATAGCTTTAAAGAAAATAATTTTGTTTATACCTAAGTGAAGATAGTGTAAAATTACGTTTGCTTTTGTCAATAGAACGACTTTATGTTATGTTCTATTGACCATTTTCTAGCTCTTCCTGCACTTCTACGCAAGTAAACTGATTTAGATTTCATCTCCCAACTTGCAAAAATGACACTCGCAAACACTCTTCAACCAATTATTGGGGTTCCAATAAAAATGAATAAATAAATATGTGTAGAAACTCTAGTCCCTAAGTTGCAAAAGATGTGCAGACATACCCCAGAACACTTGAAGCTGTAATTGCAAATGATAGGCTCAGGGGATATTTTTGTAAATAATTTTTAAAATCCTGTATCCAATCCCTTCTGTTTCACAATTAGGTCATATTTCTGTTCTTAGGGTTAAAATCCTAAGACTCTTATTTTCTGAGATACATGCCTTTAGATATAACGTAATGTCAAAATTGGACAGAGTGTCTGTGAGAAATCTCATCTTAGTTTTATGTTTTACATGGTGTTGCACAAATTTCAAGTCCATACATTTACCATTTAAATACTATGTTTTCCTTTTGGATCCAATGCACTTTACATTAATGTTAGCATAGTCATTTCACCATGAGACGCTTTCTATGAAGTTTGACTCGAGAGGTATGAATAAGTAGTGAGAACAGAGTTGAATTATTTTACGCTTATAAATCTGACATGCTGCAGTTCATGAAATGCTAAAGAAGAGCGAGTCTGAGGAGGCGGTAAGACCATGTAAAATTGAGGAAGAGGATTTTTGATCAGCCGTTGCTAGAGTAGAAAGCGAGTTTTAAATCTGATGGGATGCAAATTTTCCCTATTTGCTCTTCTGTAAGCTGCAAGAGAGTGAGAGAAAAGGCACCTGCCACTTTGAGAAACAGCTGTAACTCAGATACTAACGCTGATTGAAAGCCGACTGCTACAAAAATAATGTGCAATTCTCTATTAAATATATGATGCTTAAATAGGGTATTTGCTGAGGCAAATTCTTTCATTCTTGCTTCTTACCTAAAACCAGCTCTCTTTTTATAATTTAAAATGGGAGCTTGCATATGCTGCTTCCTCTTTAAAGTTGCAGAGCTATAAAAAGGCACAACCTTTCATTTGACGTTCTCAGATCATCAAATTTCACTTGAATTAGAATTTGTACCAACTAAATGAATGTCAGTACAAAATGCATTTTTGTACTGGCATGGATATTCGTTTGATGATCTGAAAATTTTCAGTGAAACTAGAATGTCTTAGGCTAGAGACATTCTTAAATTTGAAATTAGGGCAGGTTTTTCCGCTGTGCTCCATGGTTTATTTACACTCCTGAGTCTTGTAATCCTCACTTACTGGAGGGCCTCTTCTGATTTCACTAATTCCCTTTTCATCTCTTTATGCATTTGTATGTCAATATTGAATATAACAAACTTCTACCTTGCGCCACTCCGACTCAAGAGCTGCTTCAAATCTGGATGTTGCGTTGCTGCAGGGGAAAATTGCACAATTTGATAAAAACTAAATTTATCCCACAATGATCACGTAATTGATGACCAAAGTTGTTTGTAAAGAACTACTTTTTACTGGTGCAATAAATATATATCTACAAAGCTTTTTTTACGCTTATTGACAAGACTTGACAGTGGGGATTCATGTATAAACAATTAGTCCCAATTAAACATAAAATGTAGTGTTTATATATATATATATATATATATATATATATATATATATATATATATATATATATATATATAAGTTTAGTTTTTTTTTACACGAGTAAATAAAACTAGTTTTAAACACCTCTGTTTTCAACTTGTCTGTTTTTTTTACTCGTCAATGATCCTCACCAGAGGGTGGCGGTAAAGAGTTACGACTCTCACTGCCAGGAAGAAGAAGACTCTACTTCTGTGACGTGAGTTATTCATAAACAACATAGCTAGTGGGCTTTTCTGTTACAGTATCTGGATTGTTTGTTTGCTTTAAATATGCTGAAAAAGAAACCAAGTGGTTCGGAAAAGAAAAGGAAACACTCGCACTCCGAAGAACGACAGAACAGCAACAAACGCCGCAGCTCTGAGTCACAATTAGAGGTAAAATGTTCCGGTTAGCTCCTTTAACTAACTGGTGTTCAGTCCAAGCTGCAGTCTTCCAGTGCGTCAGTGAATGACTTACAGTTACATTACGAGATGGTACCTGAGACCGGATGATATGGAAAGAAGTATGTTAATTTCGCTGTGCATATGGAATGGAGCAGACCTCTTCTCTGTTTTTAGAGACGATTTTCTCCACGTTCTTGCTGAAGTTTACTTAAATGTGTAGCAGTTTTCCATTTTCGTGTACCGTCTTGCAAAAAAAAAAAAAAAGCGTCAGACATCTAGAAAGTGACATTTTGTCCACTATGTTTTGAAACAACAAAAGAAGTTAAATTTGATTGAGTGTTGAGCATCTCTGAAGATACTCTTTCTATTCTTACCACAACTTATTTCTGGACTTGTATGTTAAATGATGTTTTCCTTGATGGATGGTGAACCTTCACCCCAATCTTTTGTAGCCTCTAAAAGCAGCTTTCTTTCAGGATTGATGCAGATTTAGCATCCTTCACCTTCCAGTAAACTCTGACCAGCTTCCCTCTCCAGTCTGAATAAAAGCAATGCCACCCCATGAAGCTGCCATCACCACACGTATGGGGATGGTGCTTTTAGGCTGTTTTGCAGAATTCGTTTTCTGCCAAGCTTTTGCTTGTGAAAGTTACATTTGCTTCTCATCTGACCAGAGCACCTTCTTTCACACGTTTGCTGTGGCAAACTCTAAACAGGACGTCTTCTTGCCACTCCACGAAGACAGGTCCCAATGAATTTTGCAGGCCGATAAATTGTCCCATAAATTATTGTGATAAATAGTAATAATAGCATTTTGAGACCATTTTCAATTGATATATTTATAAAAGCATACAAATATAAGTTCACATCTAATTTCTTGACTCATTTAGCAAATAAATAAATCATTATTTTAGCTTACCTAAAATAAGAGAGGTTTGGTCTAATTTAACTTGAGTGCATTTTTATTCGCCGTTTGCAAGCTTCTCGTTTCAACTGCATCTTTTGCTGTTGCTGTTATACATTTTTATTTACATATGTTTATAATCTATTAAGGGTCAAATAGTAGCGTATGCTCTTTTTTTTGTTCCTCATTTTGCGTGTTTGCCAGCATGTGGCTTGCTGGTGTTTTCGCAATCACTGCGTCCTCACACTTCCACCTTCAGCCTGTGAATCCTTCGGCTCCTCGCCGCTCTCACACGTTCACCGTCCCTTCTTCCTTTGTCGGCTTTCTGTACAGAATGCTACTTTATCTCTATATTTCAGCCACCCAGTGGCCTAGTGGTTTGGTAAAATCAAAACGTATGACTGCCATGATTGTAAGTTGCTTCAGTCTAGAAACGTGTGTTGACTTTTTTGTTTGTTTGTTTGATTTCAGCTAGTATTTTCTGAAGCTACTTTCCATCTGTTATACACAGGTTGCCTATTCAAATGATAACAGAATCATTTAAAATTATTTTTGAAAAATATGTATCCGATGAATCCGATTTCTTTGGGGAAAAAGCTGTTTGGCTGAAGGGTCGCCTTGTCCTCGTTGCAGGACTCCAAAGATGAGCTCGCCGACCCCGAGCTTGACCGGGTCGGCAGCGACATCGAGGAAGGCGGCCTCGACCTCAGCGTGCCCTTCCAGCCAATCAAAGCTTACGTCAGCAACAAGCGGGAGATGCTGCAGCAGTGCTTCCACGTGCTGGGGGAGAAGAAGGTCCGGAAGATGCTGCCCGATGAGCTCAAGGTAGCTTTTCGTGTACGGAAGACTCTCAAAACTCCGAATCCTGTGTTCAGACACTTTTGTTTTCAACAGGACTGCAGTTTAGAAGAAATCAAAACGCTCTGTTGGGAGCAGCTGGAACCGATCTCGGAGAAAAATCTCACTCAAATTTTAGCGGGTAAGATTTAAAGCCGTTTTGACAGATATTGGTAGAAATTCACTTTGCGATGGAAAACAAAATCTGTAGCGTTCCTCCAGGAGAAGAGATAACAGCCGGCAATGGTGATGGAGGGACTTTGGAGAGCCAGTGAGCAATCATTTATTTGATTTAGAGCGAAATTTCAAAATGAAAGTACTTTTTACAAGTTGCTTGTATATCTATCCTATTTTATTTTTTTTTCCAGACAGGATAACAATGTTGACTCCACTTCCTGCTTGAAAGAAAGCGCTAAAACCGATGACGCAAAACAAGGTAACTATTTTAAATCGCCAGAGAAAGGTGCCTCTCAAATATTCAGTTCTAAAAACTGTAATTAAAAATTCCTTCGAGCAGAGGGAGGTGGCTCTGGCGAGGAGAGCGACGTCCTGAGCATAAACGCAGACGCTTACGACAGCGACATCGAGGGGCCGAAGGAGGAGCAGGCCGTTAAAGCCGACGAGGTGGTCGCGAAACTGGAAAACGCCGGCGACGGTGGCGAGCGATCTGACGAGGCCTCCGCAAACCCCAAGCCGGCTGCTCCAGAGACAAAGGACATTCAGACTGACATAGACAAAAGCGTCAGCGAAATCCTAGCTCTCTCTTCAACTTCGAGTAAAGAGGAAGCTGCGGAAGAGAGCAGCGGGACGTCGCAGCCCGCGGGCGTCGAAGCGGCCGCTCAGGGCGGAGCTTCGGTTTGTTCGCCGTCGATTCAGCAGCTGGAGCTGCTGGAGCTGGAGATGAGGGCGAGGGCCATAAAGGCTCTGATGAAAGCTGGAGACAAGAAAAAACTTTGTATGACAAACATTTAGCCTGTTTTGCTGAAAGTTGTATTTAATTCTTCCTATGTAGAGCTTTTCACATTTGACTTGAACTGAACTCGTATGATCTGAGCTATCTTAAGACCTTACGGAATGTCTTCATCAAAATATTGTTTTTTTATGCATATAATAGTTATAAATGCGTTATGGGATCAGGGTTCCTACGCGCCTTGGAAAAGTCTGGAATTCATTCGCAGGTTTTCTGAGTCTGGATTTCTGAGGAAAAAGAAAACGGAGCATGGGAAAATACTGTTGGCAGATTTTGTTTCCCCATGTCATTCTTTAGTAATTTTCTTTATTCGTTCCTTCTTTCTTTACTGCCTCTACTTCCTTTTATTTTTGTTTTCCTTTTTATCTCATTTCCCTTTCCATCTCCATTTCTTCTTTCCTTTTGTGTTTTTTTCATTTCTGCCTTTCTTTATTTTTCCTCCCTTCTTCTCTGCCATCAACCCTGTTTATTTTCTTTTCTTCCATTTATCTTGTTGCTTCCAAGACCTTCCTTTCTTTTACCTTTTCCATCCTTGTTTGCTCCCTTTCTTTCTTCCTTCATGCATTCCTGCTTTCGCTCGTCATTTTCTTCTTTTTTGTCTTTCTTCCTCACTGCCTCACTTTCTTGTTCCCTACTCGAAAAACAAAAAAAGTAGACTTGACTTCTTCCATTAATCCCTAACGTCTTTCTCTCTGTTCTTCCTTTTTTCCATTCTTTCCTTCCCTCATAAATCATTGTATCTTACTATTTTCCTTCTTTCTTTATTTCGTCTCCTTTTTCTACCCTGTTTTCCTTCTTACATTTGTCAATTCAAAGTTAATTTTTTTTATTTATGCTTGAAAAGAAGTGTAAAAAATTAGAATTTGACAAATTTCAGCCTGGGAAAGTGTTGGTTTTAAAGATGACAAGTGGTCATTTCCCTTTACGGTCACTAGATGGCAGTAGCACTCTGTCCCCGAACAGTGCAGGGACTTGACCGCAGTAATGTGTGCAGGACTCCCACTGTATAGATTTTAGTGGCTCGTGTTACAGTGATACTGCGGCTCCCGTTTTAGCCAGCATTAGAACTGAACATCACTGGGAGCAGCTATTTGAAACGAAGCCGTGTCCGGTCTGTTGGAGTATTTAGACCCAGGTCAACGTTTTCACACTAAAACCACAGAGTATATTACAAACTCTGCCTCTTTAAGTCTAATTCTGATTTCTAAAGTTGTTTGAATTCACGCCATCCTTTCATTCAAAAGGTTTTCTGTCAGTTTGACAAAGAGTCGCTTTTTCTGAATACCAATCGTTCAGTGTTTGCGCGAGGCTACACTTTCCGAGTGAAATATCTCTGCACCCTGCCGCCGCCCCTACAGCACTCAATGAAATGTGCAGTAAGAACCCAGTTGCCTCTTCAAGCTATTTGCATTTAAAAGGTTTATTTCATGGTAGAGGTGAGGGTGGGAGGGTTAAATGTGTCATTTTCTGTGTATTTATCCAAAGGTGTCTTAGCGTTCCCCAAGGATAGAAAAGAGAGAGAAAGAAAAAAAGTCTACTTTGGTAAAGACGTTGAGATGCTTGTTACATCTGCGTCTGGTGTCCTTATACCACCATTAGAAGGCCAATTACGATCTGGTTGGTATGAATAAAACATCACCTCAGAACAAGCTTATAGGCTGAAAAATAGTTGATGATACTTTCTGAATTCAGACGAACCCTATGATCCATGTTAACATATCGAGCCGCAGCTTTTTCAAAGTGAAAAGAAGGTCACACTTAAAGAATAAGAACAGTTCATCTGTTTTGACGACACCTTTCATTCAAATTGGCATTCGGACCAAGGTCCTCTGACGGTGAGGATTTTTTTCAATTACCCTGTCGTTAAGGTCAGTATTCTCCACGTATTCAAATGTTTAATGTCACAAATCTGAAATATGAAACGGACTCGAGGCTCTGCTAGGTTTGTTTAGCTAATGTGTATTTGAGATGATCAACATTAAAGCTGAACAATTGGCATAGGGGTCTTTGTCAAGCGAAACAAAGATGGGAGTTAATGCACAAGACACATTGTTCCTGTTGAATGTTTTTCAGTTTATGCAGCCTGGCGGGTTTTGAAAAGCACATGTTCAGAAGTCACAGACAGGAGTATCTGCCGTCTCGACACATAACAGGAAAATTCAGAGATCCTGTACATTTTTTTTTTTTTTAGTGATTATATACAAATGTTTGACATAATTTAAATATTTTGAGGATAGGACAAGCTGAAACAAATGCTGCTATCTTATAATCTCGAGGTTTGTTGCATTTTTAAAGGCCAGGTTGTGTCAGAGCTTCGGCGCAGCTGCTTATATCACGTATTTTTTACCTTGTCTTACATTTACAGTCAGCTGAAACAGTTGGGTCCATGCCGTGAGCAATACAATAATACATCTGTCTAAAAACCACCTCTAGTGTTTGCGAATCAGAAAATATATTAATTTTAACGCCTCTACTGTTTCCGCATAAACCAGGATAAATGTTTGTGTTGTGCTCTTGTGGAAGAAAAAAAAAAATCAGCAAGTGACTTAACTTTTCTTCCTGCGCATTCACTGTTTTCTTCTGCAGTGGGAAATTAAATTGAACTAAAAGCAGAGTCTGACAGGCAATAAATAACTTAGCACCTCTGTATGACTAAATGAATTGATTTCCACAAGTGATGACTCATCGGACGCATTTCATTTTCCTCAAGCTGCCAACAAAACGGATTTCTTGCCAAGTTGGAAGTCGTGTTTTATGTTGAATTTACTTTGTTTTGATTAAATGTTTCATTCAGTGACAATTCCTTTGGCTGTTTTAATTCTTTTTAGGCCTCGTTCTCCGGAATCTCATGAATAGATAGATGTAGGTGTGTTGCAAGAGATGTAAGAATCCTGATCTTCCCATTTGTAGTTCTCACACGTTTGATCCAATGCGTCTCTTCTCCATTCCTAACATTATGTTAACAGTAGAGGAAAGAGCCTGGCAGAACTCTCCTTGAAAAAAAAAAAAAAAAAATGAAGTGGATTACAAGTTTGGTACAATTTGGCAGAGAAGCGTTCCTTTCTTTTCGTCACACTCTAAAATTCCCCTGAAATAGATTTGAGCATTTGATATTCCACTCCAGTGTAGCATCGGCGTTTGGAGCAAATTCCTCCTCTTCAGTGACTCCCCTTGCATCTGACTTTCAGATTCCAGGCATGCTCTCTCTACATGGGTCACAGCTCCACCACCAAAACGGTTCCTCACAATTTCGGAGTGCATTCAAATGGTGCATAAATACCTCTGAATTTCTGCCAGTTAGAGCAGTGAGGATGGACGACCTTCCACAGTCAAACCAATACAATCAAATGAAACAATATATTTAAACCAAATGCAGCAAGCTTCTGATATCAAATGACTGCACCAACAGATCTTTTCTCTACAATTTTGTAGTTATTACTGGTAGTATGAATAAATGTCTCAAGTTTTAGAAACGCATCTAAAGCACTGCAGAAGTGTGTACTTCCAACAGTTTTTTTTTTTTTTCCTTTTTAAAAAATTGGATTACCGGTAAGTAAATCACGATTTGTTTTATACAAGCATTGATTAATATTTATTTTTCCCAATATATGGCAGTTGTGAGGACTTTGCTGTGAGACTGATATGCGGAATCTGTTAGCATTTTACAATAGCATTAGCTTGTTAGCTGTGAAGAAGGTCGTTCAGCAACGTGATGTGGAGTGCCACTGCTCTGTTTTGTGTTACAGGTGAGCTTAAATACGCACACACACACAGTATACACTTAATACTTTTGATGGTCTTTTGTGGCTCAATGTTTTAATTTGTCAAATAATAAGAAAGTACCCGTTTTGCTGTTTGGCAGCCTATTTTGGTTAAGCTAACTCGCTCCCGCTAATGAGAGGTCAGTTATGGTTTTCATGGACTCAAAACACTAAAGGTCGGATTGACTTCTACTTAGAACTGTTGTGTCCTGGATGACTGAGAGTCCACACCAGCTTTTGCAAGGTCTACATCTAGAACATGGGTTTCCAACGCTGGTACTCGAGAGCTATTGCAACTTTTTGATGCGTCCTACTCCAACCCATGGCATGAAATCGCCAGTTCCTGCAGACCTACTTGATGAAGGACTTCAGTCATTTCAGTCGACAATACAGCAAAATAGTTGGCCTCAATTTCCTTAATTTTGAGGGACTTTTTTAAGCCAATCTTATCTATCGCCTCAAAGTTTTGAAAATCAGCCACTGTCCCCTTTTTGCTGTGCTGTAAAAGAGAGCTAGCTGACTTCCTACCCAATCCACCAAGTCATGTCTGTTGGCGCACAGTTAACAGTAGTCACCCCTCTGTTGCAAACTTAGCAGCTTTGGCTGCTAAGTTGTTATATTTTAACAACGTTTTTGGAATTGGCAGGTCAGTCTCTTTAAAAATAGGCCACAACACTTCAAATGGTGGACCCCTTCTTGGACTCTAGTTAGCCATTGTCCACTCATAATATAACCAATTTATGCATGTTAATGTGGCACAGTGGTTATCAGTATACAGTTCGACTTATTTGACAACTCTGGTAGTATGAGGGTTAGTCTCTGACATTAAACTCAGTGATGTCATGTTTCAGTGAAGAAGTAAAGAAACCTCCATTTCTGCTGGCGCTGGAGGACTATGAACTGTCAAATCCCAGCTGGGTGCCATCTTTATGTTATCTAGTGTTTTATTTGGATGATTTATTTCCTGTAGCAGCACAAAGAGGACTTTGCCAAGTAAATTACTTTTGTCCGTACTGTGATAAAACTGTCAAATTGCTTCCCGCTACCAGTTGGCAAGCGATTGTATTAGGTAAGTAATTGTCAAAGGGAATGTCAGGAGAGGACTGTATTGCTTTATGAGTTTCTGTCCATCAGGACATGCATCAAGTTACTTACCTTAGGATGACTGTCCTGATGTGTGTCTTAACTATAACGCAGTGTATTGCTCTCCTGGGGAAATCTGTAATTTAGACAGGAAGTGTCAAAATCGACTCGATTTCAGGCCTCTGTATTCTAGATCAAATTTTTGTGAAAAAACTGAATCCTTCCTTTAGGGTTTTGTGTTCATTGACTTTGGCATCAGTTGCATCTTTTCTGTTTTTCAAACAAGAGGGCTCTCTCTTGAATACTGGAGCTATTTATGTTATTTTGTATGGGTATCTTTTTATGACTACCCACAGCTCCTGATCATGAGTATAGGCCCGACATCTGTCAGCTTCCTGTAGCAAACCAGACTTGAAAACTTCATTCTTCCCTTACATTTTGAGCATAGGGTAGTGTGGTATTCTGGATGCTTGTATGGTGTAAATTAGAGGGTGAAATGTCAGCATACTAAACTTAAGTAATGGGGGGGGAGGGTTCCCATGAGTACATGGAATTTAAATTTAGTTTTCACTATCGCTTTCTAGTGTGTTAGGTGTCTCTATCAATTTTGAACAAGAGAAATAGCATTATTCACTTTTACAGCATTCACAAAAACAGCACCAGCGCAATGTCTGACTCGAGGCGGCTGGCCATTTCACACCTTGGTCGTTTCATTCCCAAGTTTTTGGGTGAGAAAAGGAGTTGCTTCACACTGACCAGCTGTCAGTTGTACCTGATAAGCACCTATCAATTTTTTTTGGTAGCTGCATTGACAACTGATGACTTAAAATTTCTATAGTGTGGCCCATAAGCTTGTGTAAGGAAATATATATTTACATGTGTGACCAGTCTATCCACTGAATTTTCTGTTAGTATGACACAGCACTCGTCTTCTTAAGCAATGACTTGGGTTTGGTAGCTGCTTGCTAACATTGCTCCACTGAAAATTAATAAGTGTAGTGCAGTGTTTACTTAGCAGTTTTTATTGGTCTTGCGTAATATTTAATCTATTGGGGAAAAATAAAATTTTGTTTTCTTTTTTTAATTAGCTGTAGACCAGATTTAACAGCAAAGTACTCCTGAAAGATATCTCTCTGTTTGTAGCAACTCTACATAATATATGAGTCTCGGTTTTTATTGAATTATTAAAAAAAAATCTTACAAGTACTCAGACTAATTTAGATGTATATATCTATTGCAAATAAGAGCACAACTGTGAGGATGAGCGAATATGACACTGTCAAAACACATTTGTTTGTGTGTGTGTGTGTGCGCGCATCTGTTTGAGAGAAGGCTTGGAAAGCAAACTATTTGTTTTTCAGAGGCTAAATAGTTCAGCGCTCTTGATGATTTCTCAAGCCTTAATCAAGGTAAGTTTGAAGTGATTTGAGCGGTAATCAACCTTTGCCAATCAGTTTAATCTGGTCCCACCCAAACTAATCAGCAGCAGGCGAATGAAGAACTCCTCGACGCCTCACAACTGAGCTTTCGCAGAGTTTTTCCCTCCAAAGATGAATCGACTACTATTTTGTGCAATTAAAGGTCACAAGGAAGTGATGAGTCACTTCAAAATCAACATCTGAAAACCGAAAGATCCGTCATTAGTCATCGCGTATTCACGGCAAAGGTCCACCAATTATAGAGCGCCAGAGTATCGATAGCCTCACCTCAACCTATTCCTCTGGGACTCATTAGTCACAGAGGTAATGATATGTCATAAAAGTGCAATCAGTGCTTTGGATATGAATGATGACTGTGCTTGAAGACCCGCTGACTTTATTGAAGCACACACCTGATTGGAGCAGGTTTGCTTCTGTTTTTTTTTTTTTGCAGGATGCCCACCCTCTCTCCGAGAGTTAACACTCAGCATTCACTGCTGGCATGTTTATTTATTACAGCTATCTGAGAAGTCA